AGAGAGAGAGAGAGAGAGAGAGAGAGAGAGAGAGAGAGAGAGAGAGAGAGAGAGAGAGAGAGAGAGAGAGAGAGAGAGAGAGAGAGAGAGAGAGAGAGAGAGAGAGAGAGAGATAATGAACTAGTTATTTTAGAATGTCGTTATTCCAGAAGTTAACTCTACACCAGTAACAAACACATAAAAATTAACAAAAGAGAGCACCTATTGGACTCTTTATAAACTACTCTAAAACAATAAAATGCAATCAATTAAGCTATTGAATACTTAAAAACAAAAAGATAAATCCAATATTAGGCTTTATAATAACTCATACATTGTGAGATCAATTTTTGTGTTCATTCTATCTTTCTCGATAATTAGAGAAACTCCACGAATCTTCTTAAGAGTGTCACACACTTCCTTGGTGAAATCACCATTAAAGAAGTTACAAAATTTCTTAGAACTTAAAGAATTTATCAAAATATGTTTAATTTTGAAATCAAGTTAAATTTTTCTCTTGTCTTCTTCAGCCCAATGAACATTTCAAAATCATTTGCTATTATAAGACATTCAAATCTTACTTCTTACAATTCAAATCTTACTTCTCTCATTTTTGTGCTATATCTCTAACACATATAACAGTTTTTTTAATCCCAAACCCTCTCACAATGTTGGTAAACATACACTTCCGCTATTGATTTAAAAACTCATAACTTACTTGTTCTCTCATTTTAAAAAAAGATTTTGAATCTTTCTTGAGTGCTTGCAAACAATTTCTTTATTCTTTTACCTCATTCTAATTCCATTTTTTCGTGTGGATCTAAATCCCATATTTGGAGATTTGTGATTGTTGAGGAGATTTTGTTATTGTGTTTAATGTTTCTTTAAAGATTTCTCTTGAGATTTCAGAGATTTGCAAGGTGTGTGGTGTTGTGGCTGATTTTGACAAATCCAATAAAAAAGAAGAGATTATTCTTTCTAGATTCACTTTGGTAGTATTGTGTGGAAGCCTACAGACAAGGTGAAAGTTCTTCTCAATCTTCAGACAAACCAATACTCAAGATACTAATAGGACCAAGGAAAGATCGATGCAGAACAGAGAGTTTGGAGCAAGATTGTTGGGGCTAGAAGATTCAAGACAATTTCGAATAAAGATTTTGCGAGGATTTAGTTTAGATACTGTGTATAAGTCAATGGATATAGATAGAAGATTTTATATTTTCAACATAAATTTGAATATTGTGATTGTATTAAATATCATATAATTTGTCACAGATTATAGTGGTAGACCAAAATTTTTAATGGCTTAGCGAGGACGTTTATCGAACCACTATAAATTTGACGTACACTTTTCTTTATCTCTCTCTATTTTAATTTCATAGAAATTGGCGTGTGGTTGTTTTTACCACTTTCTCATAATTACATGCCATTAGATTTATTTTTTTGCCTTTGTAGCAATTTATCGGTTAAGTGTAGATTTTGTTAGAATCAACGTTTTTTATCTGTCTGATTGTTGATTAAGATTGGAAATCGTGGTGTTAGAATCTATATCAAACTTATACAAATACATGTCTTATGTAAATTTGATATCAATTCAATACTTTGTTTGATTGTTTAGTTTTTGGTTAATTGTTTGATTCGATCTTTCTTATATTGTATATTAATTAAATTGCATTTTCGTATTCTCATCTAATACATTGATCTTGTGTTGATGCTACTTGTTGGATAAGTGATGGAAATGAGTTTGAAAAAAAAGAAATAAACATGGAGATGGAAAGCAGAATTAAATGAAAGAAAGAAATAATGAAATAGTTTTAGTTCCAACATTTAAATTGGTCACCAAATTCAATTTCATTATGTTTTTCGGAGGTCTGTTGCTATAACCACAAAATTGAAAAGATATAAATCAATTTTGGTTATCGAGTAGAGAAAAAGGGGGAAATCGAAAAACTTTGAAGACAAGAAAATGGATGGCGAATTGAGGAATTGGTGTTTGGAATACCTCGTTAGAAACTCAACCATACAAACCAACATCATTAACAAACTCATCTCTACAATCTCAGTCTCCAACACCAATCACCGCACCAAGAAAACAATCATCCTTAGAACCCTCGAAGACGCCTTGTCGGAAGCATGTATCCCAGAATCTATGCTCCAAATTCTCGAGGTACTAGAAAAATTACAACTTTGTTCTGACTCTTCAAATTCAAATCCAAATTCAAATTCGAATTCAATCAGTGCCGCCATGAAAGCCGCGTATTGTAGCATAACAGTTGAATCTACTCTCAAGTATCTTGAAGCAGGAATATCAAACCCTAGCTATGGAAAAGCGGTAGAGAGGATATGGAAGGGTAGGGTTCATGATATGCTGAGTGAGGGAAGTAGTTTTTTGGTATCTGATGAATTGAAACAATGGAAAAATGAGATTGAGAATTCGCTTTTGGATGTGAAAGTTATGGAGAAGCTTGCTTCCATGCCGAATACTCGAAGAGACGCGATTCGAAAGCTGCACGCTTTTTTGGCTGAAGCTTGGGAGAATTTAGGTCCTTCTTTTCTTGAATCAGTGGCGCAGAATCAATTGGATGCGAGTTCGAGTGTGGGTGTCTTGCAGATGAATAAACAACAGGGGAAAGGTTAATTTTTTCTATATTCCACTTTGTGAATTATCTACGAAAGTTGTTTGCTTTTTAGCACTTTTAATTAGAATGGTTTTTTTTAATCATAAAGGTTAATTTTTTCGGTCACCGCAACTTGTTTCCCGTTTGCGTGCTATTCATGTATAACATTTATTTCTTTTACTTCGTGTTTCTCCAATAGAAATTCAGAAAGAGAATGACAAGGTTGATGCCAAGTTTACTACTACGGTGGATGTTGAGGGGGTGAATTTATCAACCTCTTGTAGCAAAGATGACTCTGTGCCGATTAACGAGGTCCCGGAGAATGGGGAATCTCTTAAATGCTGTTCTGTGGAGTTGCAAACCTTGGGCAAGGATCCTGGTTTGGTAATTGAGGACACGAATCAGGAGCCACAGATGGAAAATCGGAGTACGGATGCAAATGTATCCGAGCCACAGATGGAAAACATGAGTATGGATGAAAATGTAGCCGAGCCACAGATGGAAAACATGAGTACGGATGAAAATGTAGCCGAGCCACCGATGGAAAACCGGAGTACAGGTGAAAATGTAGCCGAGCCACAGATGGAAAACCGGAGTATGGATGCAACTGAGGCTAATCTTAATGAGACAGCTTCTGTCCATCAGAGTGATGCTCAGGAGACAGCTTCTGTCCATCAGTGTGATGCTCAGGAGACAACTTCTGTCCATCAGAGTGATGCTCATCGCCCTAACTTGATGGAACCCAATACTACTGCTCGTAGTCACGAGGTAACCTTGACGGTATTTTGTAAATTTTGTTCTTCTGGTTTATGCCTTTTGACTCTAAATAGACAATAGTTTGCTGGAGCAAAACGGTGCTGCTACTCTGCTTGTTACTTTTTGTTTTCTGATGTCTTGATTTTAGGGGTTTCATCTTGTTCAACATCTCTTTTCAGGCTTCATGTTCCTTTTATATTTTCCATGGTACTCATTGCTTATTTGGATGTATCTTTAAACAAGTATAAGACCTAGAAAAACTATAAAAGAGGTCATTAAGAAAGATATCGAGATTAACGGTTTGGATATAATCATGGTCTTGGATAGAACATTATGACGAATGTTGATCCATGTAGCCGATCCCACTTAGTGGGATAAAGCTTGGTTGTTGTTGTTGTTGTTGTTGTTGCTGTTGCTGTATCTTTAAACATGGTAATTCTCTTGGTCAGATCAGATTGGTTTGCTGCTGTCAAATTTCGGACTGGTTAGTTCAGGTGGCTCTTAATAGGCTTAGCTGCTGCTGATTTGTGATGCGGTTTCCGCTATTGATCTCACGCCTAGACGTTAGTGTTGTCTTGGTTATGCGGATGCCGTTTTGGTGTTGGCTTTGGGAGATAGCTGTGGCGATGGTATCCTTTCTGTCCTGTGCAGATTTTTGGAACTTCTCCTAGCTTCCAGCAGTGGTGTTTCTTTGCATCAATCGTGTCTAGCAGGTTGGAGATTCCCGGTCTCGAGTCGTATACTGGTTTGACTAGATGTGGTTGTGTCTGTCATGCATTAGGGTGTTTCTATTTTAATTGTGGCTGTCTGCTTTGATGTATTATGTTAGAGGGGAGCTTGGATATGTCTTTAGTAGGGGCTGATTGTTCTTGGAGTTAATATTTTGTATTGGGGTTTGATTGGTTGGTTTAAGTTTTGCAATTGTACTGTCTGCTTAGGTTGCTGGCTGCTGTTTATGGCATGCCTCATGCATTTGTTTTAGTAACATAAGTTCTATTTGGCCTTTCAAAAAAAAGTATATCATTAATTATTGCTTACTTTCTGTAGTGGGATGATTCGATAGATGGCTTGCAAGGAGAAACATCGCATCAGACTAGCAAATTTAGTTTGCCTAGTCCAAGGAGGAAGAAAGTTTCTCCATTGAAGGCGTATGAACCAAAAAACATCACAAAAAGGAGAAGGCCGAAAAAATGGAGTAAATTGGAAGAGGATACTCTAAGGACCGGAGTAAACAAGTATGCACTTGTTTTAACTAATCAAGTTACTATACATTTTTGTTGTGTATTTTGTTGATACAAAGTTTTTTCGTATTTGGTGAGTTCCTTATAATCTCATTTAGTCCTTTGTTTCTTATTCAGATTTGGTAGAGGAAATTGGAAATTAATCCTTAACACTTATACATTTGAAGAGAGAACTGAAGTAAGTCTAATTAAAAGGTATTGGTATTTTCTTTTTTCTAAGTATGTTTTTAATGTCAATCAAATTTTATTTATCAGGTTGATTTGAAGGACAAATGGAGAAACATGATGCGGTATGGAAGCCAATGAATCATTTGTACGTGCATAGTTTTTTTTGGCGATTAGTTCATGCCCAACAAAAGAACTACATTAGCTATACAACTGAGTTCAAATGATGAGCTAAAATTGAGATGTACATACATATTTTGAATTTGGGAGGTATGTTTTAGATGTATTTTTGTATACGACCTTAGGTTTGTACTTCAAAAACATAAAAAAAGAGTGTCTGATACTGCTTTAGTAGGTAGTATTCTTGGTATCTAGCTTTTTTTTTTTAAAAGCAAAATATTACTAGCTCTCTTTCTAATTATAAGATTTTCTTGAGTTTTTTTCTTGTCCCTTTTTATAAGACTCTCTTCAACTTTCAAAGTGCATTAATTATGTTTTTTTCAAACATACCCGTAATTATATTACATATTTTGCTGCAATCTGTGATAAATACAATTATATACTCATTAACTATTTCTCTATCTTAAGGATAAACTTGTAAAATTATACAAAATAGTCAATGAATTTATTACTCTAACAAATTTTTTTAATTTCCGCAATTTACTCAACGGGATCTTATATTTATGGACGGAGGTAGTATATCCTTATCCTTGTTAAAGCGTTGAGCCATTACGTTTGTTGTTGTCTTATTATGTTTCTACCTGATAGTTTGAAAGACAACAAAAATTAGAGTTAGCACTGAAAACCAACTTCTAATCAAAATGATAAAAGCCATTGAGCCATGTACTTTGATGTTGAGAAAAATAAATATTTCTTGTAAAAATTTGATTCCATTACATTGATGACGGTGGGGAGGGAATACCCGTCCCGGAATCCAATCCAAACCCGTTTGGGACGAGTTTGGATTTTAATTCTTCGTCTCCGTTGGGGATCAGGTCAGAGAATGAGGATTTTTTGGAGATTTTGGTTTGAGTATTATGGAGTTGAAAACCGTCATTGGCCCGCCCCGTTGCCATACCTACCCAAAGACATTACCAACTACTTCCCAAGTCAAACTCTCTTCTCCCAAACCCAAATCATCTTCTAACATTTCATTTTCATCCTCATTTTGTTGCAACCATTCATAACATTTATCAATATTGTTAAGAGGAGAATAGGATCAGTTAAATCTTTGCTAGAAGCGTTCTATAAGAGTTTGGTTGTATTTCACAAAAACCAAGTCATGTAGCTTTTGATGCTCTAGCTTGCTTCTCTTATTAGAATGAAACTATATTATAATTATTATAGATAATTAATTTCAAATCTCACATGCTCCAATCTAACTATATAAAAAAACTATTAATTTTTAACTTGTTCAAAAGTACTTCATTTACGCTCACATCCTGATGAGTTGCATGTTAGCCTTAACACTTTTATTGCAATTGCTTGCAAACGAGGACACTGGTTTCCATACACGGTCCATGTTAGGTACCGACAGTAACAAATAAATTTAAGACAAAAGGATAGAAGCTGATAGAAATTAATGGCTATTATTGTATGATGGTAAGAAGATTTACAGAAGATTCAATGATCTAACTGCCACAGAGCTAGGCTCTTATGGAGTGCTTAACAGCCCCCCATCCAATGATTGCTAAATGAATCTTCTAGCGTACGTCCCCAATTCCCTTACCTCCTCATTTATTGTAACCGTCTAATGATATTCGCTAAAGCCACTACTCTCTCTCTCTCTGCCACCTCATAGTTATCACGTGGTGTGAGATCCTTTTTTCCTTCTAGAATAAACCTGCCAGATCTTAGCACTCCTAGGCCCAATATGATTTGTCATTTCTATATCTGGCCCATCTTTCTTCACTTGGTCCCTAACAATACCTCCTTCTAGAAAAGCTACCTTGTCCTCAAGGTTAAATTCAGGAAATTGCTTTGTTATGGTTTCCATGTCTTCCCAAGTAGCCTCGTCCACCGCCCTATTAGTCCACTGAATTAAAACTTGTTTAACTCTCTGTTCTCCTAGTCCGTTGAAACGTGTGTCTAAAACTCCTTCAGGCACAAACTGCTCCACACAACTCCCTTCAACTTCTTGGGACAATTCACTTTCCACTGCATAATCTCCAACTGCCCTTTTTAACAGAGAGACATGAAAAAATGGGTGTACCCGTGATCCCTCGGGTAATTTCAGCTTATACGCAATAACTCCAATCCTCTCCACAATCTGAAACGGGCCATAATATCTAGCTGCCAATTTAGCATTAATCCTAGATACCACGGATTGCTGCCTGTGTGGACGAAGCTTCAAAAACACCCACTCTCCAATATTAAAACTGGACTCTGTCCTCTTCTCATCTGCAAAATACTTCATGCGGTCTTGAGCTCTTTGGAGATGAGCTCTCAACTGCTTGAGTGCTTCATCTCGTTCTTCCAACTCTTTTTGAACTGCAGCCACCCTTGTCTCACCTTGCAAGAGTCTTGTAATAACAGGAGGCTTCCTTCCGTAGACTAACTCAAAAGGTGTACTCCCCGTGGACGCATGAAATGTTGTATTAAACCAAAACTCTGCCCATGGAATCCAAGTCAGCCAGGATTTTGGTTGGTCCGCAATGAAACATCTCAAATAAGTCTCCAAACATCGATTGACAACCTCCGTTTGGCCATCCGTTTCCGGGTGATAGGCTGAACTCATCTTCAGAGTGGTACCTTGCAGCCTGAAAAGTTCAGTCCAAAAATTACTGATGAACAGAGGATCACGGTCACTAACAATGGCTGTAGGTAAACCATGAAGTCGTATAACTTCTTTGGCAAAAATTTCAGCTACTGTTCTAGCAGTATAAGGTCTCTTAAGAGGGATGAAATGACAGTATTTTGACAGCCTATCTACTACCACAAACACAGCTTCAAACCCACGGGATTTCGGCAAACCTGTGATAAAATCCATTGAGACCTCTTCCCACACTGCTGAGGGAATGGGCAGAGGTTGTAATAAACCCCCAGGTGCGATAGCTAAGTACTTTTGTCGTTGACACACATCACAAGCCTTCACATAGGCTTGCACTCTTGCTTTCATACCTATCCAATATACATTAGCAGCTAAACGTCTGTAGGTGCGATAAAACCCAGAATGCCCACCTTCCGGAGTAATATGAAATTCAGCCAACATCTTGGGAATCAATGAAGATTGTGCAGATAACACTAAACGATCCTCATAAAATAAAACCTCTTGTTTGTACTTAAATCCTGGTCTTGAATCTGGTTTTTCTTCCAATTCCTCTATGATTTTCAGCAGAACCTTATCCATGTGGATTTCTTCCTGTATCACATTGCCTTCCTCCCAAATTGGATATGAGACCAGAGCTGCTAATTCACCTTCAGGTAATCGGGATAGAGCATCTGCCCCTCTATTCTCCACTCCCGGCTTATATACGATATCAAACTGATAACCGAGCAATTTAGTGGCCCAATTCTGCTGATCCGGTGTCGTAATCTTTTGTTGCCATAATTGCTTCAAACTCTTTTGATCTGTTGTCACAGTGAAATGTCTGCCCAACAAATAAGGGCGCCAATGTTGTACCGCTAAAGCTACTGCCATTAGTTCTCTTTCATATGCAGACTTAGCCAAATTCTTTCCTCCTAAAGCCTTGCTAAAAAAAGCAATGGGCTTTCTCTCTTGCATTAATATCGCCCCCAGACCCACTCCGGATGCATCACATTCTATTGTGAACTCCTTTTCAAAATCCGGCAAAGCAAGTACGGGGGCTGTTGTCAGCTTCTGCTTTAAAATTTCAAAAGCCTTTTGAGCTTGAGGCCCCCATTTGAACCCCTCCTTCTTTGTCAACTCTGTCAATGGCTTGGCAATCTTCCCATAATCTTTAATAAACTTGCGGTAGTAACCCGTAAGGCCTAGAAATCCTCTCACCCCTTTAATGTTCTTAGGTATAGGCCATTGAATTACACTCTGCACCTTCGAGGGATCTACTGCTACACCACTTCCCGTGATCAAATGACCGAGATACTCAACTGTTTTCTGGCCAAACCTACACTTTTTTTTATTAGCAACCAGTTTATGTCTCCTCAAAATCTGCAACACTTTGGTTACTTCAAAAATATGTGTCTGCCACGATTTACTATAAATGAGTATGTCGTCAAAAAAAACTAACACAAACTTCCTCAATAAGGGCCTGAACACCTCGTTCATCAAGGATTGGAATGTGGATGGAGCATTCATCAATCCAAACGGCATCACAAGGAATTCATAATGTCCGTCATGAGTACGGAAGGCCGTCTTATGAACATCCTCCGGTTTCACCCTCACTTGATGGTACCCGGACTTTAAATCAAGCTTGGTGAAATATTGAGCCCCATGTAACTCATCGAGTAACTCGTCTATCACCGGTATTGGAAACTTGTCTGGTACAGTGGCCTTGTTAAGGGCACGATAATCAACACACACTCGCCATGTCTCGTCCTTCTTCTTTACCAGTATAACGGGACTAGAAAAAGCGTTGCAACTGTGTTGAATAATTCCCATCTCAAGCATCTCCTTAATCTGTTTTTCTATTTCATTTTTCTGGTGGTGTGGGTACCTATATGGTCTGACATTGACTGCACCTTGTCCTGCCATTAAATTGATATCATGGTCCCTTGAGCGACATGGAGGAAGACCCTTAGGTTCTTGGAACACGTCATCGAAAGATTTCAATACTTCCTGCATAGCGGATTGCTCTAACACTACCTTTGCCCGCCCTTCCGTGTTGCTCAACGTTGCATCTAGTGACCATCCTTTCTTGCCGTAGCCTTCCCTACAATGCTTTGCAATGCCGGTATTGCTTCAGATGTTCCTTCTATCCCTCTCAACATTACCCACTTCCCCTCATGCCAAAACTCCATTGTTTGTTTATTCCAATTAACTATCATATCTCCCAAAGATTTCAACCATGCCATTCCCACAACTACATCCACCCCATCTAAATCAAATAGATACGCCTCAATTTCACAGGTGACTCCCCCAGTTTTGAATAAAACTTGAGTACACTTTCCTCTAGTAATGGTTTGGAACCCGTCACCCAATTTGATTCTAAAATCTGGTGTGG